TAAATTTGTGTTTATTGGGATCAGTAAAAATTTTTTCTATTTGTATGTATTTATGAACCAATTTTAAAGTAGTTTTGAAGTGATTACTGGTGTCCCCAAGCACATGCTTAGTCTCCTTATGTATTCAATCCACCCAGTCACATGAATGATTAAGTGTATACATCTATGTTGCATTATCATTTGTTTGCAATCATGTTTGTGGCAATATATTACATTTTATTGTGAATTATGTTATAGTTTACACATTTTACTTCACTAAATAAATATTTTAATCTTAAATTCTAATATTTTATTTCCAGGTACATGTCGTGATAGTATATTCATTATCTATATATATTTAGATATATAACTTGTTTTATTCCAATGCAGCTATTATTCATGTATGTATACCTATCCTAATAAAAATCAGACTGCAAAATGTAAAAGCTTTTGAGGAATTTCGTGTAATTTATTGTGAAATTAAATTATCACAAAATGCGTAATTTTTACGAAATTTCCATTTTTTTGTTGTCTGGTCGTGTAGGTAATAAAATAGGTATTGTTCGATCAAAAATAAATAATGAATATACTATTAATAGCAAGTACTACGCATAACCCATTCCTATCGGCATTCATTCCTAAATCTGTCAACAATCAGTAACTTGCTACACCAATAAAGAATGCTTAAATAAGGCAACATGGGCGACTGGCTCCTTCAACCTGTATTGCTCTACGCGCCGACTCAGAAGGCGTGCTCCTTCTCTCAGTTTCGCCCGGATACGTCATGATGGTAGGATGGTCCCTCCAACACGAGATGCTCGCTTACGCCCCGTAGGTAGCCTGCTCCTTCATAAAGGTTGCTTGGTCTCGGCAACTCTTAGCCGTGCACTAATAACAATCTGCATTCAGTGGTGTGCAACAAGGCACCCTTCACGATGCAACTTTTCGTTCCAACAATCTCCGCACGAAACAGTAACAGTCAACTTTGGGCCTATATGATCATGCATTCCCATGTTACAGTATCATGGATCAGGTATACTGCAACTGTTCTTTTTTTTTCGTGTATAATGTAAGTTTAGAATAGGTTAGTAAGTAATACAAATCATATTTAAAGTTTAAATAGCTATCTATGTGTTAATCTTCAGAAAAGAAAACTAGTGGTGCAAAAGCAGCACGTACTTTCTCGCCCGTACTTTCACAAAACATTCCACGGAAAGTACTCAAATTTTCGAAAAATTGTATATGACTTTATATCAAATTATGTGTTTAAGGAACATATATTATTAAGGGAAAATCTCGATCTTTATAATTTTAGCAGTAGGAAGCCACCGAAAATATTTTTGAACTTTGGAAAAATAAGTTTTTCATGAACATTAGACCTGCACAATTCTCCTAAACGCCCTTCACACTATCAACACACCCAATTTCACCAGAAACGATGGGGCCATTTTTTTGAAAATGTCCCAGGGGCTTCATATAAGAACCCCCAAATTATAATATCGGTCTCAAATTTAAGGGGCCGTGACATCAGCTAGATAGTTTGGGGAATACCAATTTTGGAGAAAATCGGCTGTACGGTTTAGCCGCTAGCGTTATTCACAGACAGACTTTTAGCCTTCATTCGATGTTTCGGTATCAAGGTCCCACAAAACATTGATTCAGGCTACACCACGTGCTTGAGTTTCCCCCCTAAATTTAGAAACTGGATTTATCCACTTTTTCGTTACCTGGGCCCTGTAATAAGAGTTTTTCTGCCGCAAATTCGCTGTTGTTTCGCGCAGCATTACATAACTTTCTCTCTACTGCATAAGCACTAGCGAGGATGTAAAATAAAGAACACGGTGTTCACCTGGAGGATGCTTATGTCGAGGATCTCGTAGACGAACTTGGGCATGAGCAGGAAGAGCATCGTGATGCCCCACACATCGGCGAAGTGCGTGCAGGCGAGCGTCAGGAAGGGGCACGAGGAGAAGACGGTGCCGAGAGGAACGTAGTCGGAGTACTCGGCGAACTCGTCGGGGAGGTCGATGTCTTCGCTGGTGTCCGCGTCGGACTCCTCCGGTGGCTCGTCGTGCACCACCGCCACCCACACCACGCCAAACAGCAGCGCCAGCGCCCCCGTCACGTAGAAGACGACGGGCCACGTCACCCGCTCCAACAGCAACCCGCACAGCAGCCACGAGCCGCAAACGCCCAGAAACACGCCCGCTGCGCACGCCCACCGCGCTCCCTACGCTGGCACGCGCCGTCGGCCTCTCCTTGTCCCTTGTCGTGGCCCCTGTCCCAATTCCCGCCCTCGTATTATACACGCACGTTTACTTGAGCATCGATAGATTGATTCATTGTTAGTGATTCCGGTCACGTCAACAGCTAAGATCATTGGTCCCGTAAGTGTAGTGCATGTGGTTTCCTTAGTAGGTGGAGGCAATCTTCCCCCGCCGGATGTAGAGATCCAGCACTGATCTACCGTCGGGTAGCGGGGTTATCCCCAACCAGGTATCTCACATCTCATCAGAACTACGAATAAATTTAAATCCTTAATTTACTTATAGCAGAAGGCTTCAAACGAAAGCCATAACTTGATCGCTTTCTACATAAAAACGCACCCCTCATCAACGTTCGTGAATTTTCGGGTACCTCGCCCATCAGTGTGGCCCGAGGCTGAAAGAATGTCCAGTTTGTACACATGCGTCCCGAACATCGGACTCCACACTGTCGTCTCCATTTGTCTCGCACTCGCTCTTACAACCGCACACCGCCTCTGCATATTGCACCCATCATCAGCTTCCCAAGCCTTATATTCTCGCACGTGCCCCAACTCTCTCCCTCTCTGTCTCTTACGGACGTGGAGGTGCACCAGCTGTCTCCAACGCCCACGCCCTCACCTTCATCACTATCAGCCGTCCCGTCGTCATCCCAGGCTATCCTCTCAGATTCGTCTTCTCTCTCTCTCCCTTCCCTCCCTCTCTCCGTCTCTCGACATCGCTTGAGTGAATATCAATTAAGCTCATGCCAATGTTCTTGACGTGACTTTCACCCTCCTCATTGCCCTTGTTCCATGCTTTGTACTTACCAAAAAAAATGGCACCAAAGTGAAATTTATGTCGGCGAGGGAGCCAGTGGTTCATCAGAGTAAGTATCGAGTCCGGTATAACTCCCTGAAAGTAAATTATACTGAAATGTTTCAAAATTTGTCTTCTTTTTAGTCACATGTATATCTTACGTACGGAATGTTCTTAGTCATTATACATTATAGTGCGTGCCATTATCGCTGCTGTTTGCTGGCTTGATTTTGACGTAAAGGACGACACCCCAACCCCCAGTGTCCAAATAATACTTATTAACAATTATTACTAGTACGAAAAATAATTTATGTTGTATTAGAGAAAGTTGCAAAGAAGAAGAAAGTCAATTGAAATTTTGTGAAGTGATTGTCCCTTCCTGCCTCCATAAGTCCGAAACCGATTTGATATTTCTACCTTGGTTCCTACAAGACCGTAAGAGCGGAGCGCGTCACACTCAGCATCATCACCAGTTATTTGGAAGTTAAAAGGCCCTGCTAGTCAGAACTAGGAATGCGACATCGTTGCCGTTGTTTCCTAACATCGATGTTTCTATAAAAATATTGATCTTTTTATAGAAACATCAATGTTTTGAAAACATGAGTTGAAGCCCATTTTTTTCAACATTGGTGTTTTTGTACGAAGTTTTTACGCTTTCGATGTTTTGTTCGTGGATGAAAAATTCACCCAATCACAGTTTTGTAAAAGTTAAAATATGAAATAATAACTGATGGTAAGATTGTCTCCTTAAGTGCTGGAATCGAACGAACGTGGTTTGTACTACTTTCATCACACAGAGTATCCCTTACAAAGATGATCCAGGCATTTCCTTTGCCTTTCCTCGTTTTTCGCACATAGAGCAGCGTATTATAACTTAATTTTCAGTTAACTTTTAATTATAAATTAAACAATAGACTGTCGCTGCCTAATTAAATTGTATTGCACACATATCCAATATTATTATTATTATCACCATCATATTTATTTGCCTTGTTTAATCCCGCTAAGAGCAAAAGCCTCCTGCATGCAAAGTGGGTGGTTGGCTTATTATACTAATTATTACTAAACTACAATTATTGTAGTTTGGTGTACATTATTTGTTAGTCACTTTCAGTTATTCTGCGTCTTTCTATTCTAAACTTTCTTAACACTGTACACTCCCTATCACTTTTCATTTCTTACTCTTCCTAATTCACTTAACACTTTTAACATTTCCTAACACTTTATTAACTCTGGCGATAAACTCACTTGGACTGGACTGTCTTTTTGTCGATATTAGTTCTCAATGTTTTTATCACTCTGAACCACTTTTTTGTTCTAATGTTTGAGTGTTATGTTGGAGCGTGAGTTAGCATGTTGTAATGTTAAAGGTTACTAAGGTTGCTTTAAAACATCGACGTTCATTGCATCGATAATTTTGGGTTGTATCATTAACATGGATGTTTTAATTTTGAACATTGATGTTTGACAACATATATGTTTTGTTGAAGATGTCGCATCACGAGTCAGAACCATGATGAAAAGATATGGATGAGTGAGTCTGGCGCATCGATTTTTGCTCGTTTGGCCCATCACCAGTTTACGTTACAAATCACGTAACCACAACATTTCGTTTGAAAAGACAAACCAGGCGCATGGAGAGCGACAAGTGTTAAGAAACATTTTAAAAGTGGCATAAAGTGACAACTTACATCGAAAAATAACACAATGAAAGTGAAATTGAAATAAAAGACGCAATATTAAAAAAGGTTTATGTTTGAATGACTCGTAAAAAATGGATAATTTTGATATCTGTCTGCATTTAAAATTCCCGCTAATACTGGGCCACAAACTGCTGCATAAAGCTCATTGGCCGAAATCGAAAACGATGCCCCATAGGTCCCTCGTGTCTTTCCATCATGTTTCATTCGGGGAGCCGTTTGGCGCTGCGGGTGACTGACCCCGGCAGCGCCAGTGAAGGCGCGCGCCACCATCACCACTGCCCAGTGGACCTCGGCCACCAGGGGCAGCAGCACGACGCTCGTGCCCGACACCATCGTCGCTGTGAACACCACCCAGCGCGGGCCCACCGTGTTGGCGACCGGCGCCGACATGAGCAGCGCCAGGAAGTAGCCCACGCCCAACCCCGCAAGCACGAAGCCCTGCTCCAGGTGCGTCCAGGCCAGCGGCGCTCCCGTCTGGGGGGAAATGTGGACGACCCAAAAACGTTCGGGGACGAAGTGATGCTCCAGATTGATTGATTATTAGTTTCCGGGCGCGTCTATTAGGATTATTGTTCCCGTAAGTGTAGTGCATGTTTTTGCTCAGGAGGTGGCGGTGGTTTTCCCCAGCTGTATGGTAAGATTCGACGCCGACCTACCATCCGCCAGCGGGGTTTCCCCCAACCAGGTATCTCCCACCAGCTGGACACCTCCCCAGCCGGGACCAGCTTTAAGCTCCCGACTGGTCTCCCGGCATGTGTGGTAGTGTAGTGCATGTGTACGTGTGTGTAGTGGGCAAGAGGATAGGCCTAGAAAGAGGTAGGAAAGATCGCGCGCGGCCCGTGGCCCGATTTTTAGAGTACTGTTCCGGCATTCGCCTGGTGTTGATCGAAGAAACAACGGAAAACTACCGATCAGGGCCGCTAGAATTCTCCTCCAGACAGCGACGGAATTCGGACTAGCTGACAAACTAGTGTCGAAAATCCTGCCACCATCGGGCCTCAAACCAGGGTCCTCCCCGTGAGAGAGACTGCCGTGACATCAGTTGATGCCCAGAGCCATCTCTCCCGGTGATGCCCTACGCGGTAGTGATCACACTGTATCCTACCGCATCAGACATCCGTTTTCAAATGATTACGTATGTGCGTAAGCTTAAAACCATTATTTCAGTGCTATGCGTAGTCTGAGATATTGTTGATGTTATACAAGAGAAATATTTGTAAAATAAATTTCACATTTACATTGCATTACTGAGGTTATATTCATGTTTTGCAGAAACTAGGGCTTATTAGCAAAATGTTTCACACTTTTCGTCTGTTATATGCTGACATTCCCATTGAATTTGCAGTACTTGGAATTGTGAAAATCCATAGACTTCGTTCATAAAATAAGGAAACAAGTATGTCTAATACATCCATGGCAAATACGTAATTTGGCCGAAAAATTTTATAATTATTAAATTATATTATATTAATATAATTTAGTGCTGTTCTGTCAAAATGGAACTTCGATCGGGTTCGTCAAAACCTTTCGGACGAAGTGCGACTGCGAAGTTAAAATTTTATCGGTCGTAAACCGCCGTGTTCGTCCAAACGGCGAGGGTTCCAACGAACACGGATATAATTGACTGATTAGTGATTGCGGACGCATCATTTCACGATTCCTAGATGACATTCCTGACGTAAGGAATTCAAGCTTTCATATTAAGAAAAATGTTACAAATTTGGCACGTGTAAGACTACTTAATATGCGCCTAACAGAAGCACACTTGACAAACTTGTCTATTTATGACAATCCAGTTGTATCTTTACAGTATAAAGAACTTTAATATCTTCTTACATGTGAAGTTTAAATCGTTTTGTTGGCCCTTAGAGCCCATAAAACATTAATCATAACATCTCTAATTGTAAATATTGAGAAGTACGAATACGTTTTCCTATGATGATATAAATGGAATTGGAGAAAGTTTTCCAAAGAAAGTGATATACTAAGTGATAAGGAAAGTGATAAAGACACAGACGAAAATGGAGACATAAACTCGGAGAAACAGGGCCGAGGCCCTCACATACAAAATTGTGTTGCCCCCCCTAAAAACTTATGCTCTCCATCTTCATTAAATAAAAACTAATGTGAATACAAGTACTTTATGTTCAAGTGCATTAAAACATATTTTTATATAAATATTTACATATATGTGTATATATTGTATATATATATATATATATATATATATATATATATATAATATTTTTTACATTAAATACATTTTACAATTTTCTTTCCGAAGTGCCGGGGCCCCTCATGGATGGGGGCCCCAAGCAACTGCTTGTTTTGCTTGTAGGTAAATCCGGCCCTGCGGAGAAAGATCTGGTGTTCACTCACTTCTCTCTCAGGTTTAGTGCATTCAGAAGGAAGTTCAGGTGGCTCCACCATCAGGGGCAGGAGAACACTGAACGACAAACAGTTGGCACAATGATACCAGCAGGCAAGAAAGGCCATAATTTTTATCATCACCAACTTCACTTGCATTTTAAATCCTGAAAACAAAGTTTAACCAGTTTTTGAATAGTTTTGTTAAGTAGTTAAAAATACTAGTTAAGGTGAATGCATTTTCTTGTCATGAGTGAGGGAGGATGTATGTTATTCTTTTCCATTAATACTAGTACTTTAATCAATGTACTAATAAAATGAGTTTACCAAAAGGTTGTCTCATGTTTGTTGTAAAAATCGGTCGTGGTACTCTCTTGAATTTTAAAGAAATTTACAAAAAATAAAAGTTAAAAACATTTTGCAATATTAACAAACTTCGAATTTCGAATTTATACTTCGAATGTAGTTTTTGCCTTTCGATTCGGCAACGGCTTTACATGGCAAATTTATTGTTAAATTGCCATTGCTGAATCGAAAGACCAAATGAATGATCCAAATTATTTTTATTTTAAATTTAGATGACTTCGAAGACGAGTTGTATGCGTCTTAAGATGTAAGTGCACTGTGTATCCGAGCAAACTGTTTAAAAAATATGAGACCATTTTTGAGAAAATCTGGTTCAAATTTTTGGGAGATGTGGAACGATTAGACTATTGTGCGAAAGATACAAATATTTTGAATAAAGTACATATAATCATTTAAAGAGCTAATTTTGACTAATAGACTGCATGAAGAAAGAATCTCTGCTTCAATAATGAAGACGTAGGAGAGATTCGAAGAAAGGTACACTTTCGGAGTTTTCAAAAATTCAGACTCCTCCGTATGTATAAGCATATATTGATACATCTCTGCAATAATTTAAAATACAAAAAAATTGCATTTGTTTATAAGAACATTTTACTTTTTCGTCTTACTTCGTATGTAGTTAAGAGAAAGTTATATAATGCTCAAAAATAGGCGATTTACAGACAGAAAAACTTCGTCTTCTGGGGGCCTGGGGGAGAGAGAAATGTGGATAAATCTTGTTCCTAAATGTAGTAAATTACTTGCGACAAAAGGGCTCTCCGTCCGTTCGTTTGTTTGTCTGTTCGTCTGTCAGGCTGTCCATCTTGTTAGTTGGGCGAGAGCCTAACTAAACTATCCAGACGATTTTTTTCCAAAATTAAAATACCCAATTGGTATTGAAAAATGACAAAAATACTATGAAAATCTTTTGACAGAAAATACGAGCTAAATTTCGGCAAATAAATTATGATCCACTGCACGTAAATTCGATCACACCAGATGTGATTTTGGAAGAGTTAAAAAAAGCGTTAAGAAACATGAAAAATAATAAAGTACTTGGGACTGGAGGTATATCCATAGAGCTGGTTAAACATTATCCTATCGTAGGTTTGAAATTAATTACTGAAATATTCAATGGCATTTTAAAAGGAGGTGAAATACCTGAAATATGGAAATTAGCCTATATAAATTCAATTTACAAAAAAGGATGTAAAAAAGATTGTAATAATTATAGAGGGATAAGTGTGACTCCATCTTTGGTTAGACTGTATGGACGAGTGCTAAAGAATAGAATTGAAATGCAAACATCAGACTCAGAAGAGCAAAGTGGTTTTAGACTAGGAAGATCGTGTATTGACAATATTTTCTGTCTCAAACAGCTGATGGAAAAAATAATTGAGCGGGGAAGAGAACTTCACATAATTTTCATTGACCTCAAAAAGGCTTATGATAATGTACCAGTAAAAAAAGTATGAGGGCAATGGAAGAAAAAGGAATATCAACAACATACATAAATGCAGTCAAACAACTTTATAAAGATAACAAAGTCAAGTAAAAGTGGGAAAATGTATATCAGACAACTTCCCAGTAAATAAGGATTACGGCAAGGCTGCTGTATATCTCCACCTGTTTAAGATATACATTGATAAAGCCCTAAAAGAATGGAAAAGAAAGTGCAGAAGCATGGTGTGAAATAGGTGATGAAACATTTGTTTAGTCTACTATTTGCAGATGACCAGATGATAATGGCTGAAGATGAAGACGATGTAACTTATATATTTCAGAAAAATTAGTAGAAGAGTATGGAAAATGGAAATAAATTTACAAAAAAATGAATATATGGTGGTGGGAGGTGTGCCCAATGATTTAGGAAGACTAGATATATATAAGGAATTAAAGGTAAAATACAATATAAGTATTTGGGAGTCACACTAACAGCAGATGGTAGAGACGAACAGGATGTGAAAAACAAAAATATAGAGGAAAAATAGCCACAAGAACAGTTGAACCAGTCGTACGGAACTCAATTATTTCAATGAGAAAAAAGAAAAAAGAGTACCACACTCTATGGGCAGAAGTCTGGACACTATCAAAAATTGAAAGACAATTTCAATCAACAGAAATGATGTTCTGGCGAAGATGTAAACTTTCTCTGTTAGATAAAATAGAAATGATGAGAATATAAGAAATAAAATGAAAGTGCAAACAATTTGAACGAGACGATCGAAATGAGACAACTAAAATGGTATGACATAAGAGAAGGTTGAAATCGGATAGACTTCCTCAAAAAGTTTGGGTAGTAGACTCCAAATCGAAGAAGATACAGGGGAAGACCGAGAAGAACATGGAACATGGTTATAACTGAAGCCATGGAGAAATGGAAGAAAACGATGTATGGGATAAAAAGGCATGGAAATTGGGATGCGGAAAACGGACAAGGCTGTGAAAAACCGCTAAATAGATAGAGATAGATGAAATACTCAATTGATCTGAACGAAATCGCGGTTCTACGAGTTTGAAACGAGCATTTTGATTTTATGGGGTACTTGACATGAGTCTTCAACATTTTCAAAATCCTCTTGAAAGTGGCTCCACATTTTTTAATACACTTTTTTCCTAATAGCGTAAATAGCGATTAAAATAATGGTGCAGGCCTCATTTTTGTTGAAATCAGTCAAAAAACTGTCAAATAGCTTTTGGTCGCAGCAAAATAATGAAGGACATAATGTTCGAGTCACCCATTGATACATCTTGAAAGTAGCACAATAAAATGCGTCGCGAAGTAGGTCCTATCTATGAAAAAAAGCTCCTTGGCTTCAATTTGGGTTAAGATCTTTGTCTTGACGTGTTATAAACGGATGAAAAGTTCTAATCGATATCACTTACACATTGAACAATATCAAAGCTCAAACGTCACGAAAAAGTGTGTGGGTTTTGTTATTCAAATTTCCGGGTTTTCATACTACATTTTATGTTCAATAACCTTGTTTCAAGAATAAAATTCCCCACAAAATTGATTAAATACAACAACATTGACTTGAAGATAAATATAATACCCACTATATTAGTTACGTTGTCATAGCCATTAAGAAAAAAGATCTAGAAATGAAGCAAGTGCCCAATTCTAAAACCACTATTTCTGGAAGAAAAAGACGACTTGCTGAAATTACAAAACATTTAATATTGTTAAAAATACTATTACAATTCATAAATTTGAAATGAATTTAACAACGAAGAGCTCTTCTTGAAAGGGTTGAAAATAATGAAACTGGTATTTATTTATTTTTTTATACGTTGTTGGGTTCTTTACCTTTATTGATTGGTTTATTAAATTTTTTTAATGATTAATTGTAAGTGATAATTGTAATTTATTCACATTTCAACACATTTAAAGAGGATGTTGTGCAAAAAGGCAACAAATAGAAACGTCATTTCTTTGTAATATATTCATATTAACTCAAAATTGGGTTGATAATTTTCTAGTATGATTTGCAATCTGTAACTAAATGTTTGCCAAATATTATTTTAAAAACTATTCATTATCTTATCAATAATTCATGAATATACACATGTGTTGCTGCTTCTCCAAAGTCGCGATATGTATAGGTAGTTCCAATTGAAAAACATGGTTGACCTCGAAACCTTGTAAAATGGTATGTTTCATCCCTCTTCTAGTCCTATTCTTTCATGTACAGTTTTGAAAACAGCATTGCAACACCTCCAATCAAGCAAAAAACATCAGGAGGTGCTCAAATCATTAGACTCACCTGTATCAACCCTGTATGTCATTAAATTATCAATGTCTTCAATGCTGTATATCTATGCTAATAAAAATATTTACTGCAGTTGACTATACCTTTAAAATAGAAGTCATTAACTTACCTGTCCGTGTCGTTTCAGGCGTTACGTAATGCTTCTCTCTTTAACACCCAACTCTTGCGTAGCCTTAATTCATTAAATTACAGTATTTTATCAATATAATGTCACAGTGATACATACAACAATTATAACAACGTTCTTCTTTTTCAAGGGTGGACGATGTTCTATTTTCACAATATATCCTGCATGTTATAGAGAATAACACCATGACAAGGAGCACAGTGGAAATAAACAATAGATGTAACATGATGAACGTGCAGTATAAAACTATAATTACGTACATAACGTTAAATATGTTTACTGTAAATATTGTGGCCGTCCTGTCGCGCCTCTGTCTTTATTACAATTATTTCTTTACCTGATTTACGAATTACCTTGCTCTCTGTTTATTACAAAGTTTAAACTAATAATACTCGTACTTCCGGCACGAGCGGCGTTGCCGCTGGAAAATGTGTACTCGGTCGCGGGACTGAAGTTTCCCCCAGTACAGGATAGGCAAAATGATATTTCTCATTATCTATTGGTAATGGGCACGGAAATTTTCTACCCAAACAACCCAAAGGGGAAATAAACATTGTTCAATTTACCGTATTCAGCGGTACCGCTTATGTATTCGACGGCATCAACCCGCGCCGTCGCCAATTTCTCCCGTGACACTGCCGATAAAATCAGTACATACTAATACAAAACACCCTTTTCCCCTTTTTCTTTTCACAATGACAAAATATTTAATTAAATATTCACACTTACTGACAAACTATTTACGCTATTCACATTCACACCGTGCACGTCATAGTTGTGAAATCCATCTACCTTGTTCGGAGTTTAACAAAATCTAATACAATACTTGGCCTTCCTATAAAATATATACCGTACGTGCAGGTAATATCTGCCGAATGTTCACTTCCCTTTAGGTGATAGTGTTCCTGTCAGCTTGCCAATCCATTTCTTTCCTCAGCTGGGCACGTCATTTCAATCTTTTCACACATCCAATGCATTTCACGCAACCTACTAAAATAACATACTTCTGGCTCCCCACTCTTTACTACTACCGTCAGCGAGAATTTTTTTGACAAACAGCTAAAGCATATATACAATTTCTTATAACGAATGAGAACGCTCGTTGTATTCCAATTAGGTACATAATTAAATTTTGTTATTGATTGGTTGATTTTTGAAATCACCACGTGATTGGTTGATTTTGAAATCACGTGATTGGTTGATTTTGAAATCACGTGATTGGATGATTTTGAAATCGTTAGTCAGTCGACAGTGCAAGGTTAGTGACTCCAGTGATACCAGTGAGTGTAGAAGTCAGGCAAGTGCAGTGATTACAGTGATTAATGAATTACAATGATAAATTGAATGTGGAAAACTGAAGAGAAATATTGAAGAAAAAATAGTAAGTATATAATAAAAAAATATTAGATTTAATTTCAAATTATTTAATTTAGATTTAATTTCAAAATATTTAATTTTTTAAAATATTTAATATTCTATTTCTTTTATAGATTACCATAGTTGATGCTAGTACATCTAATATCAATGACATTACAGTTAGTATCTGTTTATATCATCTCATCATTGTTATCAACAATCAATTAAAAATATTTTATTTATTTCCCAGGAAGTTACGTCTATAGAGCAATATGTTGACGTAGAGGTTTGTATAATTTTTTTATAGAATCTGTTAAAAATGTATATTAAATACTAATAAATTATTTTTTTTAGAATATCTTGCCAAAAATAATATGTATAGGTATAAAATCGTCCGTCAGCACATGCTCGCCATACACCATTTGTCTAATAACATTCACTCTCCTCAAAAGACATGAAAACTTGCCAGCACATGCCACACCATGTTATTGGCTCGCCATCTATCATCCCTCTGTGTCTTCTCCAGTCAGTCTAGCTTTCGATTGTTTTTTCAACAAAACAAAAACGCTCGCTTTCCTGTCACTGAGATCTTTTCCAACACGGGAGAATGCAACATACAGCTGTCCATGGGAGAAACACGGGTTCTCCAAGTCTAGGCCACAAATAGCCATTGTTTGCCCTTGCGACTTATTTATTGTCATCGCAAAAGCCAAACGTATCGGGCCTTTTGAAATGAATTGTAGATTCTGATGGTATCATAGGTATTCGAGGTAACAAGACGACTTCGCCTTTAAACTTTCAGTCAATATCGCTGCTTCAAGCACGTTTCCGGTAATTCTTCTGATGACTAATCGTGTACTGTTGTATAATTTTGGTGGATTGAAATTACGCAATAGAATGACCGGTGAACCAATTTTGACACGAAGATTGTGTGGGCATTCCTAGTAAGTCCAAAGGATTTAAAAATTCAATCGGAAAATTAACGATCTGGTTTTCATCAACAATGGTGTCAATTGACTTAAAAGTCATTAGATCGCCTGAAAATAAATTTTGTATTTGATAGTTAATTTCATCGACATCAACATTTTTTGCCGCTAAAATTGCACGATTACTGAGCCAATTATGGTCTAAGTAATTATTGAGAATATCTGGAAATACATTCTCAATTAGTCCATTTTTTGAATGAACAAATGTATTTAATGGATTTCACGGAATTGCAAAACAAAACATTAAAAAGGGCCTTATACGTTTTTGAAAGCTATGGCGAATATGAAATCACCCACTGACTATCAATTTCTAGTTGATTAAAATTTGATGTTCGCACTGTGAACACATTGCCACCGTTGTCGGCATTTCTACGGCGATACAGTGGATAACCGTCAATATCCGTAATTGTATAATTGATACATTCTTCCGGAAAACGTTTCTTACATTTGCCATTTTCCATGCATGGTGATGTCATGTTAAAACTACCACATGGTCCATAGATCATGTGACTGGTAACAATTTCAAACAATTCTGGGTCGATTGATGGATCCGGCATTTCAGCGGAAATGATTAGATCTATTTCTTCCCGGCGTGTTTTAGTTTCGAGCCAAATCAAAATGTGAGAATGCAGCAAACCTCTTTTTTGCCATTCAACTGAATATAACAAACAAATTATCGTACCAAGAACCGAAAACTTTACGATAAATTCAATCAAGGACTTTAATTTTCGCTTAAACACACGTGCAACAATATCGTGACGATGTATTGATTGTTGGCCTGGTAACAGCAAGGTTTGTATTTCCTCCCAATTTGGATTACATCTAAATGTAATAAATAAATCGGGACGGCCATAATGACGTATATAGGTCATCGCATCTTGGATGTACTCTTGCATGTTCCGTGGACTGCCAATGTAGCTAGAGTGTAAAATAAATGCATTACCAATGTTGTTGGTTTAAATTTTCATCGTTGTTTCCTATAATAGCATCCCGTAAATGAATATAATCCTCTAACCGTAGCTTAACTTGATTGAAACGAAGGTATCGCAAACGTTCACTCTCCATCTTAGCATACTTGTCTACAACATATTGGTGGTAGAGCTGACGGTATCGAAGAATATAATTGTCCTGATTATCTCTTACCATCAACCGGTTCGCGTAGTAACACACTGAGCTACCCTTTTTATTCGTTTTATTACCTGCAATATAAGAAATAAATTTAAATTAAGATTGTGGTATGTTAAAAATTAACACTAATAAACTTTAAAAAATTAATCCCTCCCAGTAGCAGGATTAACCTGATTAATGTTAATGTGATATCCATCTTGACCCTGCCAGAATATCAGTGGATATTGTAGTGCATCGTACGAACAATGTAAGTCTGATATCACATGAACAGTGCGGTCACGACGTGTTATTTTGATAGCTCTGTTATCAACTGGATCACCGACCATGATAATAGCAACTTCTTCTACGGTTGGCGCGTTGAACCTGCCAGCATGTTCTCCTGATGGTGTTTTGTCAGCTCTGATGACAATTTGTAAGTTGTCATTTTGTAATTGTGGTGACACTCTTATAAATAATTGAATAAGTTGGTTATGATTTTCTAAAAAAATTCCAACAACTCTACAATAGCTCTTGGTACTGCTTGTTCGATAAAATTATACAGACATCTAGTTGCCACTCGTTCTTTAGAACTGCCCATAAAATAAATTTGAAGAAATTTTGGCTCTTCGTTCTTTAGAACTGCCCATAAAATAAATTTGAAGAAATTTTGGCTCTTCGTTAGGTATTGGCATGAACGACCCCATTTTATGGTACACCTGACCTGGTATTTTAAATGTACTTTCAAAATTACGTCCATCGGATGATAATTCGCAAATTTTAGTTGTACCAAATGACGTTATTTTGAAGCAAGAATCGAATTTGCGTGTCATACGTAAGAATAATTTTGAATCATCTGATTCACCAGCGAGAAGTGACTGTAGGGGCTCCAGCGGACTAAGAAGAGGTATCGAAACCACTTTTCCTAATGAACAACACATACCCGGTGGTTCATTGCAGAATATCAAAGCCTGACAGTATCTGCATATTTGATACATTGAACCGATGACGATCTTTGAATGCGCATAATAATTAGTCTGGAGAATACTCGAACGCAAGGCGAAAAAAAGACGTACGCGTTAATACGCGACTGGTTTGCTGTCTCTCTTGATCCTGTGCTCGATATCTGGATAAATGTTGTTCACGTGCCGCTCTTGACCTTTCTCTTTGTAACCGCAGACGTTCATCACGATGTTCTCTTGCCTCTCGCATACGACTTTCTGCTGCTCTATGCCTTTCAGTAGCGTTTCCTGTAATGGTTTGATTTGTTAACATGACGGCTCTCTCAGTACGTTTACGTCGTACCTCACGGCTACTGGCATTATTGAGGTTAGATTTTTTTGGAGGCATATAACTGAAAATGATAATTAAAATAATACAATACAATTAAAATAAAATCGATATATAATTGTCAATGACAAAAAAAATTCACTTTGAAATACAAATGCAAGCGATCGTTTAATATTATATACTAAGTTTTATCATGCATTGACTTTTTTGAATATAAATTATAATAAGTTTTTTGCACTGAAAGATTGATATTCAATTATTTTTCAATTGCCATAATTAGTAATAGAAGCACGGATAACTAATTTAAAATATATTTGTTACTTTGATAAAGAACAATTATTAAATGAAGTATAATCAAAAACATTTCCTAGAATTAATTTATATGTCAAAACAACGTTTGCTGGATCAGCTAGTTCAGTATAATAATATAAATATGTGATATGATAATACTTACTTATAATAATATTAAGCTTATTGAACCGACGCACTTTAGAGCGCTGAGTGACTGTCGCAGTTTCTGCATGTGGTGGCTCTGCGGAGCATAGTGCCATGCACGTAGTTACCTACGAAACGTTCACAATTTCCTGAAAATGGAAGAAAAACCGATTGAAGCCGTGCGTGTTCGTTAAGTTCTTTATTACTCAAACCATAATGATGAGTTAAATGAACATACGTTATGAACCGTGGGGACGATAATTCATTAGTTTCAAGAAGCTTGATATAAGACAGCTTTTTTAAAATTCACTAATTATTCACTGTAGAGAAACTAAGAGCCAGAAACTCACAAAACATTGCATCACAATGGACTTCATTTTCCACACATGCACGTTGAAATTTTGTCGTTTTACGCTAGTTTATGCACGAAATGTGAGACACTTCGTACGCTAAACTCACGATAATGCAGACGATATTAGGAACAAATGACGCTCAAAACAAAGATAGGCGCATCACTATCACCGTTTCCCTCGGGTCATCGCTTTGAAAGCCCCATTTTTCCATTCCGCGGAGCGTGAAAACCAGTCATTGCAACAGAGATAAGGAGTAGAAGTTTTCCCTGCCCAAATGGACGAAGCTGTTTACAAGCAGTTTATTTGAAATTCATAAGAAAGAACTTTGCAACACTTTGAGAGAAACTGGTGGTCTGTCAGTTTTCTTACAATGCAGGGCATATTTAGTAAATGCACAAGGAAATTAAATACTGCTTACATGTAGAAGATATAACTGAAACACGATCATACTCTTTTAGTACCAGATATTCTTAAAAAATCAACATATTAAGCTAATTACACATTGCAGATAATTTCTAATACGATGTGACGTCTACGTGATGCATATTTCTGCATGTCGTCACGTAGACTATTGTACTTGCTATAGCATCCACGGATTGCTTTGGTACCTTCTGAAATTCGCTCCCATAAACCGTCCTGCGTCGGAAAGGCGTACGGTAAGCAGTTGACTTACAATGACTCCAGAAACGAGTGGTACAACAGAATCGCACATACTATCTCGTATTAGTTTTGTATTATCTTTGGTCTCAGCTAGCAATTCTGATTCGCCACATACTCTTGCCGGCTTCCATCTATCGTCGCCCAAAGTATATTTTTTTAAAAGTCTCAATTTTTCGGTTTTTGAATTGTATAACTGAAATACAACTTTAAGAATATTAAAAGAGAGTAAAACCGCGTCATACATGGCAATTTTTACTGCAAAATTTGGAGCCATTTATAAGAGAAATTACATATAAGTGTAAATGAGAAATTTGAAGTTCTTGTACACAGAAATTATTTGAGTTTGCGATAAACTTCATTTGAAGTACAATAATTTGAGATACTTCCAATTACAAGTGCAATAATAGGTACAAATTCAAATATGCATATTAATGGCGTAAAGGATTTTTAACAATAATTACATTGGTGTATTTTGTGAAAAACATTAGAATAAAGCAAAACTAATTTGATGTTACCTTAAACAGTGCAATTAGCACTATCCGTACGAAAAGTTT